CTGGAATTGCTTAAAACGGAATACTATTCCGTTTTCAGTTTTTCCGGAAAAGGAGCGTCTACATTGGCAGGTTGCTTTTCTGGAAAAGCCCTTTTTCCTGAAAAGCGTCTGTGGCCAATGTAGACGCGCTTTTCCAGAAAAGAGCCCCGATCGCCATTTTCGCGATCGGGGTTTTTTTCCAGAAAAGACTAGTGGGCTGTCTACACTGGCCCTTTACCGGAACAGTGTTCTGGAATAAGGACTTATGCCCGAGCGGGAGCAGAATAGTTTTTCCGGAATAGCGGCTGATTTTGTACAGTAGAGTGTCGTTGCTTTTCCGGAAATTCAAGGGCCAGTGTAGACAGCTCGTAGCTTATTCCGGAAAAGCGGCTGATTTTCCGGAATAAGTGGCCCAGTGTAGACACAGCCATCATGTTTGGAACATTCTCTGTTCCAAACTGTTTGCAGTCTAGATAGATAGACAAGACTGAGAGACATAGGATGCGGGGAGACACATGAGCATTGAAGTTAGGAAACTAAAAGAGAGGTTCCAAAAAGCTAGCATGCTGAGCTGCCTAATGCCTGTGCTAGCCAACAGAAATGCTGAGTACTGGGAAGTGGGCTAGATCTCAGCCCTGCAACAGGAGGTAGGCATCTAATCATAGGTGCTGGAACTTGGAATGCTGGAGGTGCTGCTGCAGCCTCTGGCTTGAAGTGGTTTAATGGCTCTCAGTACCCCAACTATACAAATTATTTTAGTGCCTCTACATCTAATTCCAGGCCAGAGGGACGCACCTCCCTCCACTGAGGCGGAGGCAGGAGAAGCAGTAGTTCATCCTTCCGCCCCATTGTTACCATTTACCCAGTGGTTAGCGTTCAGTGAGAGACCCAGGTTCATTTCCCCCTCCTGCCTGATGTGAAGCTGGCTCTCCAGTTTTGGGTCTTTTGCTTCTCCTGAGAGTGCCCTGCCCACTGAGCTATGGAGTCACTCTGACTTTTTCCCTGGCCCATAGAATATATATTTTTACACAGTGGCACCATTTAGACAGGAGACATGAAGACAGCCTTTCACAGAATATCCTATATATCCTAACACCACCTCTGCGGTGTTAAGGGATGGGCACACCTCTTTACTTAAGACTGTGCACATGCCCAACTGCTGAAATGCAAGTACCTTGGAGGACTTTTAAATGTGGAACATAGGTAGCTACCGGGTTAGGTGGCAGATGGGTGGAGGTTTTGTGAATGTCAGTGGCTCCTAAATGTTGGACGTTGTCATTTTGTGAATGCCAGCCAGAGAGGGGAAGTGATTTTTCCCAAGGTTACAAAAGCAAGGCAGTAGCAGAGCCTAACTTCAAAGGAAGTGGAGGACATTTGGTGCCTTTTGAAATCAGCCCATAAAGTACCCAACACTAACCTATTTTCATTTGAAATAACAGCTGTTCTGACCAAGTGTCTGTGGGAACAATGGTGGACAGAATTTAAATACCACATCTAAAGTAATAGGCAGAAATGAAACCACCCCATATATGCATTGATCTCACTACAAGAACATAGGCTATGTCTACATGGCAGAGAAAAGTCGGAAAAAGATATGCAAATTGTGAACCGCAATTTGCGTATCCTTTTCTGCTTTTTTTCCGAAAGAGACTTTCTGAAATTTGGCCCATCTACCTGGGGCCAAATTTCAGAAAAAAGTCCTCTTTCAGAACATCCCTCACCGAGGGATGCCGAAAGAACGTGTGCTTTTTTGGAAACTGTTCTGAAAATGTTCCTTGGACATAGCCATAATGACCAGAACATGTCACCTTAACTATCCTGACCAGAGTTTAGTTGTTGCTTGTTTGTTTGATGAGGAATTTTGGCAATTTTAACTAACTAAATCACTTGGTTATATATTCTTCCCATTATTCTACCACTTCTGCAGATGGTTGCCAAATATCTGGGAAATAATTTATCTGATTAATTTTTTCCTGCTACTTGTGGAATAAATTTGTCATGATTATATTATGCCTTAAATAATGATGATAAATTATCTTACTATTATTATTTGACCAGCTTTAAGAATGGAGTCTAAACCAATAATTAAAGCTGCGGGTGTGTTTAGACTACAGATGTCATCCCCCTAGTTGTCTGCTAAAGCAGACAACAAACAAACATGATATTAAAATGTCTCCCAAATGTCATTTTCAGATCATAGCCCTGTTCTGCCCTTGCAAACACAAGTTAGAGAAAATCTAGTGCCAAAAACAATAGTATATGAATTCAACATTCAAGTTGTTTCTTTTAACCCACAAAGGCAAGGAAATTCAGTTATGGTTCTCATGGCAACGTGGACTACTGTGTTCTTTATGTACATCATAATAGGGTCTTTCATTGTATAACCAGCCTAACCCTGCTCAACGTGACATACTATTGGGTAAAAACGGGGTTGACAGATGTGATCTTGGCACTCGTGCTATCTTGTTAAAAATTGTCTCTCTTGCATGATGGTTTCATGGAATTCCACCCTCTCAAATAAGCTCTGAATTTGCTCTATGGATAATTGTATTCTTAGAATAGTGTGCCTTGGATATTTTGGGCCAGAATGTTAAGTCTGGCTGTGCACCTATGAAGGGGAGTAAAGAAGCACAAAATGTCCCATTATTTTCCTGCATTATCCTGCATTACTCGAACCATGAAGGAGGGTGGGGGTGAGCAGCTATTGCGGTGGTGGTGGGGAGAGCTGTGTTTTATGCACAGCTTGAGCTCATTTTGCACAGATGTAAATGACCCAACAAAGTGTAAGACAGTAAAGAATCAACCCTAAAGCATTTTGTTTTTCTTGTGTCAATATAGCTCAGCAAGCATTTATCACTAGAGTCCATTATGAGACTACACATTGTCCTTTCTATTTGGGGATGAAAAATGCAAGTTATAAATGACAGGCATTGGACACATTTGAAGGAAAAAAGATGCCCCGATTCTTAGTTAACTCAGTTGACTGGAGTGATATATCTCAGAGGAGAATTTGCAGAATACAGGCAGTCCCCGGGTTACGTACAAGATAGGGACTGTAGGTTTGTTCTTAAGTTGAATTTGAATGTAAGTCGGAACTGGTACATATTGTAGGGGAAACTCTAGCCAAACATTTCTCCAGAGCTCAGTTTTATTCTCCCACACCTCACTTCCCTCAGTCCTTTATTCTCAAGCTGAGGTGTCTGCTGAGAAAAGCCGCTCCGCGTCTCCCTGGTCTGCTGGGGAAGGGCGCTAGCTTCGCGTCTCCCTGGTCTGCTGTGGGGAAGCAGCTAGTGCGGGGTTGCCTCACCCCGTTTGTAAGTAGGGATCCGATGTAAGTCGGATCCATGTAACCCGGGGACTGCCTGTACAGGAAAACTGACAGGGACATTCCCAAATGACACAGTGATTTTTTCAGTACCCCTTAGTTTTCTCCTGTTCCTGATGAGAAGACTTTAGAGGATTTTATGTATTTTGTTGAGAGATTTACACTCTGCAAATTGCCCGCTTAACTAACAGCTCGTTAATGGGTGTGTCTATACTGCATCATTATTTCGAGATAACTAGCATTATTTTGAAATAACAATGCGAACATCTACACAGACATTCCATTATTTTGAAATAATTTCAAAATAACAGACGACTTATTTCAAAGTCTGTAAACCTCATTCTTTTGGTATGCCTTCACAGCAAAGTTATTTCGGAATAATGACCGTTATTTGAAAATAACTATGCGAGTGTCTACACGGCCATGCCATTATTTCAAAATCATTTTGAAATAATGGATGATTTATTCCAAACTATGTAAACCTCATTCTACGAGGAATAACGCCTATCCAGAAATAGCTATTTTGAAATAAGGAGTGTGTAGCTGCTCCACTGCTGATATTTTGAAATAGCTCCTCCCTAGGGCCATTCTAAGTTATCCCTCCCCAGTGCTTCCTGGGATTCTAAATCGAGATATCATGCCTACATTAGGGAAGCCTGCCTTGGACTAATTTTGAAGTTTCCCTGCAGTGTAGAGGTGCTATTTTTAAATAAGCTAGTTTGGAATAACTATTTCGGAATAAAATTCAGGACTTATTTCGAAATAGCCATGCAGTGTAGACATACCTCATGTCCAACCCTCCTTGCCGCACCAGTGGGGAGAATGTGCTGCGATGTCATTAAGGCTCTACTAAAAATCCTCTGAGCATGCTAGAAGGAACTTTTTCAAATGCTGATCATTTCAAAAATATGTTTTTATTCCCTCCCCACCTAGCCCAAAGCTCTCTAACTCTCCATCCATACTCTGTCTGGCCCAGGTGCTAATTGCAGCTGTTTCTGGTCCAAACATAATAAAAAAGAAGTGGATTTGATTACTTAACCCCTTGTTCCTTGTGTTGTCTTGTGCACTTGTGCAAAGTGGACTTTATTTCTGCTTTGTGGGTGACTACAGCTTAAAAGAAGTGTGTAACAAACCCCTGAGTAGAAAGATACATAAAGAGACACTACCATCTGAACTTTCAGACAAGTCTTTCTTTATGCTGGAACTTTTGGGATGCACTAATGGTTTCAGAAATAAATCATCAGTCATCTGAGTACTCATGAATAATGCAATCTTGTAAATAACTGTAGAGCAAAGCTGCAACTTGAAAATACGCACAAATCACTTTTATTTCTATTTAACCAGCTCTCATTTAGATTTTCATTGTTGCTATTAGTGTCAAGTCTAGGCTCTCCCTTCCTTAGGCTTCAGGTACCACAATCATTAAGAAGGCCCGATAAATTGCCAGCATATATTGTGCTGGCAATTTTAAAATGTCAAATAAACAGCCTTATTAGCGCTACTGCTCTCCCCTATGGGAAACTGTTTGGTTTTTATCTGTGACCCTGCTACATGTAAATACTTTCTTCTGCTCTTGGGCTCATTCCCTTGAGTCTTGTGCTAAAACAGAAATGTGATGCTAAGCTAGTAAATTGTGAGCCTTTTACTTGAAATAATGCTACAAAGACTCTCACAGTGTGCTTTTATCTCTTATTAGGAGAATTGCTGCTTATGATGAAGAAATTCAACATCTCTATGAGGAAATGGAGCAGCAAATCAAAAATGAGAAAGAGCAGTTTCTCTTAAAGGTGACTGTGTCTCTTTATTATAGATATGGAAGGCCTAATTCTGCACTCACACCAGTTTTTACTCCAGTGTAACTCCATTAATTTCAGCCAGTGTGAGAGCACAAGAAAGCCCTCAAATGGCAGCATACACAGAAATAGAAGATAAAACATAATTTAATTTGCTCTATCCTCCAGTGATTTCATCAGATCACAGGCTCAGGCTGGATGACTAGTTAAATGGGAGACCAATGCACACCCACAAATTGCAATAAGTGGACTTGGATTGGTGATTTTCAAGAGGCTGTACTACCTCTTTGAAATAACTACCAAACCACTTTGCTCACAAAGGTGCCATCTTTTATGTGGGTTTTAAAATCAAGATCCTCCTGACCACTTGTCTTCATAAACTGGAACTTTTCATAGCAGAACTAGTCTCGATATCCAGGTCTAATTCCTTGAACAATTTATGTGGTGTCATTCTTACAGAGCCAGTTGTGCATCTGTCCCCTTCCTAGTCTCTCTGAGTGATCCTCCTCAGGTGGAAGCTCTCATGACTTTACTTATCTTGGGGAGGAAATCCACAATTCTCCCACTCTTAGACTGGGCCTCAGTCTGGTGTGTCTACTGTGCTCACCCAGCAAGTCCAACTGGGCAGAGCTTAGCTTTGGGAATCTGTGTCCAGAGATGAATAGAGTGGCCAGACAGCTGTCTTAAACCAAAGTATTTATCCCAACAGAAACAAAGCATACCAGAGAAAGGATTTTAAAGAAACAAAAAATCTATATGCACATCTGTCATACCTAGAGGCTGTCTTTCCCTGATGCAAACAATACCCAGGCTCAGGCATGTCTGCATTGCCAGGAAGATCGATCTTCCAGCATTCAATTTGGCAGGTCTAGTAGGAGCATGCTAAATCAAATGCTGAAAGCACCCCCGTCAGTGTCCATACTCTGTGCTGTCACGAGGAGTAGGGGAAGTCGACGGTATCATTTCACCTGTCGACCTCCTACAGTGTGGATGGTGCCCTAGCTCAGCTTAAGGTACGTCAACTCCAGTCTTGTTATTTCTATAGCTGGAATTGTGCACCTTAAATCAACCTTCCTCCATAGGGTAGACCTGCCCTTGGTTTCTTCAGACACCCCAATAGGTGTTTCTATCACAGCCTGGCTCCTCCCTGAAGACCTCTTCACCAGCTACAGTCTTAAACAGCACCCCATTTCCACCCTTGCAGAGAGTCTCTTTTAAAATGCCATAGTCATTCTGATGTTCTGGTATCCAGGCTTTTCCAATCCAGCAATGTCCCCAAGTATTTTATCTTGAGCCATTGTTTCACTTCTTGCTTGTTTTTCCCCCCTCGTAGAGATCCCTATTCAACAATACAGTGAACTTCCAAGTATTTCTGAACACACTATTCAGAGATATAGAGCGACACAATGTATGTCACAGGTGGGCTATGTCTACACTGCACCGCACTTCGAAATAAGATGTGCAATTTGAGCTGTGCAAATTGCATATCTTATTTTGATTTTATTGTGAAATAGCTTATTTTGTACTTTGGCGCTCTCTACACAGCGCCAAATTTCAAAATAACCTGCTATTCCAAAATGTCCCTTACTCCTCATGGAATGAGGTTTACAGGGACATCGAAGTAGCGAGCCTGAAATGATGGGCTAGCTGTGAACATGCAGGATAGCTATTTTGGGATACTCCAGTATCCCAAAATAGCATTGTAATGTAGATGTAGACGTGTTGTCTAAAAAGTTGCCTTGTAGTTTCAACTAGATAAGTTATTGTTTACTTCCTGCCCTAAGCTGTTGTGTAGTGTGCATTTTGCACATTTAGGTCCCAGTAAAGTCAGTGGGAACCTGGCAATTGATTTCACTGTGCATTGGATTAGACCCTTAAACTGATGTGTTCCACACTAGAGCTGGGTGAATCTCAACAGAGGGTCAACTGATCTCCTTGTATAGCACTTGAAAGTTGTAAAATGCTTTGCAATCTCTCATGATGAAGGTTGACAAGGAAGAGATTGTTTCGTATACACTAATAAAAATTCCGCTACTGATATAATACTGTAAAGATTCTTACCTATAGGAAACTAAGGCACTAGCTGCTAATTAACTTGATCTTTAAGGTAGTATCATAAATTCCATTATTAATCCCTATCACAGATCTTTTTAGGCTGCTAGGTAAACCTCAGCCTAGCACTTTAAAAGCTAGCACCCACACTAATGGCTGTCAGATACTCAAGGAATATTATTTCTTGGTGCGACTAATTTGTTTTTTGGTGTTTGGGGTTTTAAACTTTCTCCATAAAGCAAAAGTTCACAAAGGCCCTGCAGAATGCAGAGTCATACAGATGCCATATGAAAAAGAAAATGCTTGCCTGTTTCTGGAAAAATCATAGCATTTGAAAAATACATCAAAAGAAACAGTTAAGAAGGCAAATAAGTGCAAACTGTTGCTATTTAAGATATTTGGTACCCTGCCGATTAAGGACTGTGTTAGAGGAATGGTTATTATGTCTTATTCATTTAGATATATATTTTTCTGCATAAGAATCCAGTTAATGTACATTAAATTGCCTCATTAAATATATTGTTAGGAGTGAGAGGAGGCAGGGGGAATATTTCATTGTTCCTGCACCCACCCCTTTGTGGGAGGTTTGATCTTTCTGAGTTTTCCTGAAGAATTAAGAGTGTAGGGGGTGGGGCGATTCTCAGCCAGTGTGATTCATGAGGGCTGTATCGATAGAGCTCTGATCATTTAAACCCACTGGCAGATTAGTCTGTAGGCAAATTAGGTCATGATAAGAGGCCCTGATTAATGGCTTCTCCTCCCCCTTCCCCCCAATGAACACCTCCACACCTGGATCTGCTTTACCTGCTCACCTTGCACTTCCAGGGAGCAGGGTTGGGTTGCTGGGGCTCTCCCCCTCTCCCCACCCACCTGGTGCTCCTGCCAGAGAATGGTGGAAGTCCCTACACCATGACCCTGCTCCCTGCAGGAGCGCCAGAAGTAGGGCTGTAGTGGTGGATTAAGGGTTTGTGGGGCCAAAATAAGGGAGGGGGGCTCTTCCATCTGCAGCCCCCTGCCACAATGATCCTGTAGGAAGCTGGTTCAGACCATGGTGGTGCCCATTTTTGGGGGGACCCCTAATTGGCCCGGGTCCCAGGAACTGCAGACAGAAAGGGAGGGAGGGGCCCCCATTTGCTTTGGCCCAGGGCCCCACAAACATCTAATCTGTCTTTGTCTACACCAGCTGAGAATTAGTCCCAAGGAATAATTCCTAATGAGGGGAGTAGCTCTGACATACTCAAATGCTATTATAGAATATTTGGGAACTCATGTGTGTGGGACCACTGCACTAGTGGAGAGGCCTGTAAACCCTCAGGGCCTTCTCACATGCATCAGTTTTACACCACTGTAACTGTTGAATTCTGCAGAGTTGCTTCTGATTCACACCATTGAAAGTGATAGATTTTAAAGCTAGAAGACACCATTTCTGGTCATGTATAAGAACATAAAAACGGCCATACTGGGTCAGACCAAGATCCATCTAGCCCAGTATCCTATCTGCTGACAGTGGCCAATGCCAGATGCCCCAGAGGGAGGGATCACAACAGGTAATCCTCACGTGATCCCTCCCCGTCATCCATCTCCAGAGAAACAGAGGCTAGGGACTCCATTCCTACCCATCCTGGCTAATAGACATTGATGGACCTAACCTCCATGAGTCTATCTAGCTCTTTTGAACCCTGTTAAAGTTTTAGCCTTCACCGCATCCTCTGGCAAGAGGTTCCAGAGGTTGACTGTGCACTGAGTGAAGGAAAACTTCCTTTTGTTTGTTTTAAACCTGCTGCCTATTAATTTTATTAGGTGACCCCTAGTTCTTATACTGTGGGAATAAGTAAATAACTTTTTCTTATTCGCTTTTTTCATACCAATCGTGATTTTATAGACCTCTGTCATATCCCCCTTTAGTCTCCTCTTTTTTAAGATGAAAAGTCCAAGACTTTTTAATCTCTCTTCATATGGGACCCGTTCCAAACCCCTAATCATTTTTGTTGCTCATTTCTGAACCTTTTCCAATGCCAATATAGCTTTTTTGAGATGAGGCGACCACATCTGTATGAAGTATTCAAGATGTGGGCATGCTATGGTTTTATATAGAGGCAATAAGATATTCTCTGTCTTATTCTCTATCCCTTTTTTAATGACTCCTAACATTCTATTTGCTTTTTTGATTGCTGCTGCACACTGAGTGGATGTTTTCAGAGAACTATCTAGAATGACTCCAAGATCTTTCTCTTGAGTAGTTGTAGCCAAATTAGTCCCCATCATATTGTGTATATATAGTTGGGATTATTTTTTCCAATGTGCATTAGTTTACATTTATCAACATTAAATTTCATTTGCCATTATGTTGCCCAATCACTTATTTGGTGAGATCTTTTGAAGCGCTTCACAGTCTGCTTTGATCTTAAGTATCTTGAGCAGTTTGATATCATCTTCAAATGTTGCAACCTCACTGTTTACCCCTTTTTCTAGATCATTAATAAATAAGTTGAAGATGGGTCCCAGGACAAACCCTTGGGGGACTCCACTAGTTACCCACTACTATGTAAGCTAGGCTATAGGATATCAACCAGTAATATCTGGATTGAGCCCAGTAACTTGTAACTTAACTACAGGAAATCCTTTAGAAAGATATCCAGGGTAAAATTTTAAACATGTGGAAGCAATTCAGCAGTTTTAGCTCCATTTTCAAAGTGACATAGATTCCTAAATCTCAGGGAGACATAGGCTCATATGTGCCTAAATCACTTTTGAAAGTGGTGCTTAATGTAAGTCTCTTTGGCACTTTGGAAAATGTTACCTCATACGTGGGTCAGAAACTCAGATGGTATAACTCAGCATAGATTCACTAACTTCATTTAAGTCAAAGGAGCTCTGCCAATTTATACCAGCTGAGGATATGGCCTTGTAAGTGATGGAGAAATCCCTGCATCCTTAGGTAACCTATTCCAATGGTTAGTAATCTCCACTATTAAAAATCTACCCTTTATTTCCAGATCTGACTTACAGTCCTATGCACTGTCCTCTGGACCATGCTGCCCTCATGATGAAGTCCCTGCCTTTTTGCTTAATATTCATGTCTTTTGATTTTGCAGGATACAGAGAGGTTTCAGTCCCGCAGTCAAGATCTGGAACATAAACTCGTTTCAAAAGAACAAGAGCTGGAACAACTGGTTCAAAAGCAGAAAAGGGTACTTAACAGCATTATCTATAGTGAAAACTGTAGATGTTTCTGATGTGCCTCTGTGATTTTCCTTTATAATGTCTCTTCTTTCCTTCACATATTTAACCATATTTCAAGTCAGAGAATTTTTTTTTAAATAAAAGCCATTTGAAATAATTGGTCACCATGAAAGCTGCAGTTCCACACTGAAGTCCTGTATAAATTCTTAGAGAAACATAGATTCCAAGGCCATGAAGTACCATTGTGGTCTGACTTCCTGTATAACACAGGTCATAGAACTTCCCCAAAGTAATTCCAGGAGCATATACTGTAGAAAGCTATCTGATCTTGATGTAAAAATTGTCAGTGATGGAGAATCCACCACAATCTCAGTAAATTGTTCTAATGGTGAATTATTCCCACTGTTAGAAATGTACATCTGATTTCCAGTCTCAATATGTCTAGCTTCAATTTCAAACCATTGGATCATGTCATAATTTACATATTTTCTTTACTGATTTTCTTATTGAACAGCACATGCATCTCCTTATAAAGGGGAATGCAATAGCAATATGTGCTATGTATATGTATATTTTGAGAGTTTGTGTATCTATCTGTGAATCCATCCATCCATCCTTCTGTGAGACCATTTATTCAAGAGTTCCTCCTCAACAATAAGAGCCAGGACCACCAAATTTAGTAGGCAGCTTCCTCGTCTCCTAACTTAAAGCAAGGTCAGGGTTGGTTGTGCCGGGAAAACGGGATGTGCCTGGAATGGGGTTGTTTTCCATAGCACAGAAAGGAAGGGAACTGATAGGAAGGTCAGTTAGGGTACATCTACACAGCAGCATTATTTCAGAATAACTTCTGTTATTCTGAAATAACTATGTAAGCGTCTACACAGCTAGCCCGATATTTCAAAATAATTTCCAAATAACGGGTGTCTTATTTCGGCGTTTAGAAACCTCATTCCACGAGGAATAATGCCTCTTCCAAAATAGCTATTTCGGAATAGCAGTAGTGCGGATGCTCCACTGCTGCTATTTCAAAATAGCTCCTCCCCCAGGCCATTCAAAGCAATTACTCCCCGGTGCTTCCTGAGGCTCTAAATTAAGGGAGCCTGCCTCTGACTAATTTCCAGGCTTCCCTATGGTGTAGACATGCTATTTTGAAATAAGCTATTTCAGAGTATTTCTTCTGGAATAGTTTATTCCAATATAATTGTGCAATGTAGACGTAGCCTTATACTGCAGAATGACCATTGAGAGCATCAAGTGCTGGGGGACATCTACACTGCAGAGTGATAACAGGGGGTGGCCAGACCAGGAAGAGAGTGGCCAGCTGGGGCCAAAGCTCTCCACGTTGCAGGCCACTGGCCCAGGTAAGTGGGCCCCCTACTCCCAAAACTCTCCCACCCATCTCTTGGGGGCAGCACAAGATATGGGGGTCTGCCAGCCAGAAGTCCCCACCAAAGAGCATCGCAGGGGGTTGTGGACAGGCCAGGCAGCCCTGGCATTCCGCTTCCCACCCTGCCAAGAGCCATGCCAGGGTTTGGGGCTGGCCATGGCAGCACTGTCCCCCTGGTTCCTCCAGGGGGTGGCAGCTGCAGTGCCATCCTTACTGTCATGGGTGGCTCGGTGAGCTCTTTCTCTGAGCCCCCTGGCCTGAGCCTCCTTCCCCTGTCCTGACTCTTACTCTCCCACTCCCTCAAAAGCATCCCTCTCTAAATTTCAAAATGCAGATAGGCACTTGGTAAAATTCTCAGAAAGCTGCCCATTTGCCTAAATGCCTTTCAAAAACTGTCCCTTAGTAGCCCAAGTCTCATGGAGGTAGCCCCCTCCATCAGTTTGAAAATAGGGGTTAGGCCCCTAAGTCACTAATGTGTGTATTCTTGAAAAATGTACCCTTTGCTTTCTAAAGCAAGTGTTTTCTTTCACAAGGCCTCATAAGAACAGCAGGCCTGATTTTACACAGCACTGGAGGAGTTCTGTGCATATAACTGTCCCTTAGTAGCCCAAGTCTCATGGAGGTAGCCCCCTCCATCAGTTTGAAAATAGGGGTTAGGCCCCTAAGTCACTAATGTGTGTATTCTTGAAAAATGTACCCTTTGCTTTCTAAAGCAAGTGTTTTCTTTCACAAGGCCTCATAAGAACAGCAGGCCTGATTTTACACAGCACTGGAGGAGTTCTGTGCATAT